TGGCTGTTCCCCACGTTGGAGCAGCGTCTGTGAGTGCCCACAGCAGCGCAGGAGTGGCACAGGAAGAGCTGCCAGGGCCTGGGGAAAGAAATGGGTTCATGTCTCTAAGGATAAAGTGCCCACAGCACGGGATTGTCCAGCAGAGCTCTTGTTCTCAGCCCTTCTGCTTCGAGCCCTTGTTGAGGCAGAGGTCCCGTGCCGAGCCCCAGGGTGCATCTTTGGCAACTTACCCGTCTGGCTCTACTTCCTCCCTTCCTCCTGGACAAAGGCACTCCCTGGCATCGCAGCTCCTGTGCCTCTGGTACAGTTCTGTGTATGCACTGTTGTCTTCCCATGCCGCTTGTCTGATGGAGAAAGGAAAATGGATGAGCCCCTGCTGCCCCAGCATAAGGCATATGCAGGGCCTCCCCGCTCTTCCCCCCAGACGCTGTTTCCAACTCCGGCATGGAGCTAAAGCCTAGACTTGGGGGTCAGCAGAGGGCCACAACTGCGGGGGCAGGTCCAGGCGTGGCACAGTGCTGGCCAGGAGGACACCAACCTTATGGGGATTTGGATCCCCATGAGGAGCATTTCTGTTAGAAAGAGTTTCGTATTTTGACACAGAGGGCAGCGCAGGCAAAAAGCGCCAGCCCTCATAGCCTGTCCCTGCAGGTGAAACAGAAAGAGCGTGAGTGAGGCTCCGGTGCTGCTGAGAGGCTGCCGTGCCCGGAGCAAGGGAACGACTGCTACCTGGATGCACGCCCTGTGGAACCAGGCATGTTTGCATGCTGGGCACACCATGGTCCCATAGGTCGTTCTGCCTTCAACAGGGTCCCTGCAGATGAGGCAGTTGGTGTCCTCTGGAGCCGCCAGCTCTTGCTGTTGTGGGCGGTGCTCCCAGCAGAAGGAACTAGGGGAAGAGGGAAGGCATGGGTGAGATGAGAAGCGCTGGGTCCTTCCCTGGCGATTGGGAGAAGGGTAGAGGGGGTACCTGAACGGCAGGAAGTAACGGGTGATGCATCCACCCTCCACGGCACAGGGGAGATGGAACCTGCGGTCGCAGCCCATCTCCTGGCAGGTGACGGTGGCCCCCCTCTCGCCACACACAAAGCAGACCTGGAAAGAGCAGGGCAGCCCCCATCAGCGGCAGCCTCAGGGTCTCCACAGCCAGACCCACACCTTGGGGCAGGGGGCGGGATGTGGCCCCAGCTGGATCACAGGCCACAGATCCACCTGGCAGAGCAGGCTCCTGTGCTGGAGCCTCTGTGGAGCTGCTGGGAGCAAGACTTCTGTCCCAGACCTGGGTGGAAAATCTGGGATTCTGTTCTTGGCATCTGCGCTAAACTCCCGCAAACCTCTCCTGGCACGAGTCACCCTGATCATCTCAGATCCTCACCATCTGGGCTGCCTGATTGACTGTCAGTAGAACATCCATAAGAGAAAATCCGATCTCTTCTTCCTCTTCGGTCCCTTGGGGATGAAGGTCACTGGCAAAAAGCTGCAGAAGAGCAGAGACAAGGAGCAGATGAGGGGCATGTGGCAGGGCAGGTGTATTGCAAACATAAAACCAGCCCCAGAGGAACTCACCAGGCAAAAGCCATGGGCATAGCCCCATTCATAATTCCATTTTAGCCCGCAGATGTCAGGGGCTGCCTCTGTGCGGTGACACAGCACGCATGCTGGAGGGGAGAGAGCAAATGCCACGGAGAATGAGCACCTCTGTGGGGCCAGGGATGCATCCCTGAGGGATTGCCCCCAAGGGCTGCTCTGTCCCTGCCTAGCTGGCTGCTGAGCAGGGCTGGAAGCCTTGGAGAGGAAAGGGCACTGCAGGCATGGGTGTCCCGGAGGGTGCGCACTGCCCAGCCCTGGTCCCGCTTGCCAAGCAGAGGAGCGGCCCTCCCGCAGGGTGGCTTTGGAGCTCCTGCCTCCCCCTGCCAACGCTCCCGGTGCATGCTCACAGCCTCAGGAGTCCCTCTGCCAGGCTGTAGGAGGGGGACTTTGCTCTCACCCTGCTCCATCGAGTCGGGTGTCCTAGACCTCCTTGCGGAGGTGTCAGACATCAAAGGTGGGCGTTTGGAGAGTCCCTGTCCCAGCAGCGCTGGGGCTGCTTCTCCAAATGCTCCTCTGCTACCTGTGAGGGAGAAGAGAGACGCGGGTGAGCTTGCAGTACAGGCCCAGAGCCCTGCGGTGTGGAGCCCCCTCGTTCCTCGGCAGGCCCCCGAGAGCCCTGTCCCTGCCCTCTACTCCCCGCACCTCAGCAGGTCGCAGCGATGCACTGTGCCCGGCGTTCCCTTTCTTATAGGCCTGCCCCCGGCACCAGTCACAGTGGCCTCTGTGACATGAGCACCGCTGGCCCGCGTGCGCCCCAAGTATGGGCAGGGGCACCCTCGGCCACACACCACCCACTGTGACACGGACACTGCATCGCAGGGCTGGCTGTGAAGCGCACAGGCAGGGACCCGAGCAGGTCTGCGGGCCTGTGTTCCAAGTCACATTAGGATACCTTGCAATCCTTGGATTACAAGTACAACCCAGATCTCAAATCTGAAATTAATTTGGACCTGCCTGACAGCTTTTACTGTTAAATTTTTAACAGAGATTACCGTGTCCCTTACTCTTGTTGGGTTTAGGGGTTGTTTGTGTCTTTTGAAGCTTCGCTGCAGGTCACTGTTTTATGACTTTGCAAGTTTGGTGTATTTTTTCATCAGATGGTGGTGGGGAATAGTCCAGGAATCTCTTAAGAAGAAAAGCACATTTAAAAGAAAAAAACCACCACAGACTCCTCAACAGAACGTGCCAGGGGCAGGTAACGAGCTCAGATAGCTTAACAGTGCTGAAGCAGAGTTAGAACCATTGGGAAGAGTCACTTTCGTGCCTTTGTTGTGTATACTGACACGGGACGACTGAGTATTGTACTGAGGAGAAGTACTGATTTAGTTTGTGCCCAGAGAAAATACCTTCATTGCACACTTCATCAAGCATATCAGAAGAGGAGAGATTGGGTTCAGATTTGGGAATATTGTAAGCTTTTATATAAAACACTTTGTAACAATGGGAATAGTGTTGGCGTAGATACAGCCAACAGATCTGAAAGCTGAAGCATTCACAAAAAATTCACAAGTTCTGTTTGTGCTAAGGGATATCTCTAAAATCCCCAGCATTTTCAACTATCTTAAACATGACATTGTCATAGAAAAGAGGGAAATATCACATTGTCAATACCGTACTTTAAAACCAAAGGTTTCAAATATACATCTGGACGTGTAATCTGCGTCCTAACTGAGCTTGCTCTGATCCGCATAGATTGAAACAGAAGATGCAGGAACTCTGGGCCTGCCTTAGCCAAAAGGTTAAGTGTAACAATTTACAATCATATAAAAATCGTCCTACCGCTGAATTCCAGTATGCTGGCTTTTTTTTCTTTTTTTACTTCAATCTCTGAAAAGACTCAAATCAATTTCACATTTATATGGGATCACTATCTATTTAACTTTTCCGTGGGTCCTAAAAATGTACAAGACGTTTATTTTATAGAATCATAGAATGGTTAGGGTTGGAAAGGACCTTAAGATCATCCGGTTCCAAGCCCTCTGCCATGGGCAGGGACGTCTCGCAGTAAACCATGCCACCAAAGACTCCATCCAGCCCGGCCTCGAGCACCGCCAGGGATGGAGCGTTCACTACTTCCTTGGGCAACCCGTTCCATCTAAAGCAGCTTTACGAAAAGTAAAACCATGGGATCATTTAATTTGGCCTGGTTTTCCTAAAATATTTTCCAAATAACAGAGGAGCCCCTAACTATACACAGGAAGATGCTTAACTCGCTGCATACTCTCTTGCTCCGCTTTTAACTACTGAGGAACAAGAATAAGCCCCGAGAGTTCTGTTATTGCTTCTTCTCCAGTTTACACTGTATCGCACTTGCAGGTGCTGCAGGACCAGCAATTTTAGAGTGCACCATCATGTAGGAGAACAAAATAAATTACTATGTCACTAACGTGTTTTTGCTAAACCGAGTCAAAATAACAATGAAACAGGCAGTTTGGGCCTTGGGCGTGCTCTGTTTTGTCCGGGTTCTCATCTCAGAGGAGGGTATACATCCCTTTAACAGAGAGATGCCTCTAGCAAAAAGATGGTGCCAGAGCAAAACAGCTCTGGCTCATACAGCTGCTCGGCAATTCTGTTTCTTGTCAGGAATGACATTCTTTCTAGTCACTAATGAAATCTGAACCCAGTCACGGTAAGCGAAATTTGCCCGGGCTTGAGAGTCAATGAAATGTTATTTCTCTCGTGACTCTTCAGAGCGTGAAAATGCTTCCTTTCTCGAAAAGCTGCTGCAGATGTCCATCTGTGTTTTCTGCAAGACAGTCTTATCTGAGAACAAGGAACGGTTTTATAAATACTTATGAGCACTGCTGCCTTGAACTGAATCCTGTTTGCGCGCCCCAGGACCGCAGCAGGGGCGGGTACAGCGAAAGGGCGCTGGGGAAGCGGCTCCCCCGGCGCCGGCACTGCCGGTACCTGCCGCGGCTGAGCGGCGGCCCCGAGTCCGGCCTCTCACAGAGCCGACAGCCGGCCACGGAGCGCCCCCTGGCGGCGGCGCGTAGCGCCGGCGCATGCGCGCGCCGTACAGGGCGGCCTTTCGGAGCCCCGCCTCTTTGGCTCCGGGTGGAAGTGACGCGGTTGTGGGCGCCATGGCGGAGGCGGCGGGTGGGCCGCAGCCGGGGGGTGAGGGGAGCTTGCGGTCGGTCGGTCGGTCGGTCGGTCGGTCGGTCGGTCGGTCCGTCGCGCCGGCCGCACTCATGCTCTAGCCTCGTTGTCCGTTGCAGATTGCCCAGGGAGCAGCAGCGCCCAGGCGGGCAGGGCCGCCGCCTGCCAGGGCTGCCCCAATCAGGGGCTCTGCGCTGCCGGCGCCGCCCCGGCCCCGGCCCCGGGTGAGCGGGGCCTGGGCGGGGGGGGGGCGGGCCTTGTGTGTAGAGGGGCTTGTGCAGGGGGCGGGGCCTGTGTAGTAAGGGGAGTCTATGGGAGCTTGTGGGAGTGGGGGCGTGGCTTGGGTAAGGGGCGTAGTTTGTGGTGGCGGAGTTTATGGGGGCTTGGGCAGGGGCGGGGCTTGAGCTGGTCGTGCCTGCTCGTCGCTGACCCTTGTGGCTGCCGCAGCGGAGCTGTCGGAGCTGCGGTCGCGGCTGCGGGCGGTGAAGCACACGGTGCTGGTGCTCTCGGGGAAGGGCGGCGTGGGCAAGAGCACCTTCAGCGCGCTCCTGGCTCACGGGCTGGCGGCGGACGAGGCCAAGCAGGTGCGCGGGGCGGGCGGCACGGGGTGGGGCTGCGGCGGCCGCCCTCCGCTCGGATCTGCGGACCCGCTGTGGGTGCGCCGGAGCGTTCCAGGCGGCTGCCAGCGGGGGGCTGGGCTGTGTTCCAGGTTGCTCTGCTGGACATCGATATCTGCGGGCCATCCATCCCGAAAATGAGGGGTCTGGAAGGAGAACAGGCAAGCGAACGCTCAAACGTGTTGATTAAAGGATGTCTGCCCAATTTGTCATTAACGTTTTAGGGTCTTGTAGGGTTTAGTGGAACTTCTAAAAGGACAGTTTATTGGGAAATGGATGTGGCAGTGGGCAAGGAAGTCCCGGCAAGATGGACAAGTTCAGCGTGATGTAGTCTCTAAAAGAGTTGTCTCCTTTCAGGATGACCAGCTTGCAGGCTGACCAACTTTTGCTGTATATTGGCAAGCCAACTTTTGCTGTATATTGGCCGTATGTTCATGGCTACATAGAACTTAAGTGATGTCAGCATGATCAGCCCTAAAATATTTTATATCAATCTGTAAAGTCGTGGGTAAACTTGCAGCTGGGTTGAACAGTTGTTATTCACTTGCTAATGGAGATCTGGTTCTCCTGCAGCTCTTAGCTCAGGCGCTGCAGCGCAAGCATCACCGCACCTATTGGCAGGGCAGCGCTTTATGTGTTTTGTGTGACATCTGTATTCATTTGCAGCATCACTTGATGGCTCTTGTCTGTTTTCAGGTTCATCAGAGTGGGTCTGGCTGGTCTCCAGTGGTGAGTTGGGGCAACCCTTGCAGAGAGGCCATTGGGTTTGTTTGGGTTGGGCACTGCCTGCCAGGGGGGAAACTAATGGGGCGGGGTTAAATGGGGTGCTGCTGTTGGTTCTTTTTGTAATGACATAAATTCCCAGACCCTATAGAACTTACGGGCTATATATAAAAATCAATGTTTAATTTCTTAATAATACTCTCTTTCTTGAATAGTTTATGAATTTAAGCATGCCTTGTTTACTGAATTTCTTACTCTACTCTTGACTACTGCGCGTATGCTGTTAAACACCACTGTAAGTCTTACTACGACTGGATTTTTTCAGTCTGTGAATGTAGCTGGTCAGCATTTTGCAAAAGGTGGAGTTTCTAGTGCCCTTTGATCAGACCCTCCACTAGAGCGGGTTGCTTCAAGCCCCATCCAACCTGGCCTTGAACACTGCCAGGGATGGGGCAGTCACAGCTTCTCTGGGCAGCCTGTGCCAGCGCCTCACCGCGCTCAGAGGGAAGAGCTTCTGCCTAGTACCTAATCTAAATCTACCCTCTTTCAGCTTAAAGCCATTCCCCTTGTCCTGTCACTACACGCTGTTGTAAACCTCATGTAAACTCAGTGAGTCAAAAAGAGCCATGTAACTATTAGAGGGGAAGCCTTGGCCTCATCTTTCGGTGTTGAGAATTCCAGTCCCCTCCTCGTCCCCCACCTCGCTGGCAGTGTCAGTCACTCCACACAAAGAGCCAACAGTCCCTGTGCTCTGCAGATTTCGTCCTGGAGCCTAAGACTTTCTGTGTGACACCACAACAGCAGTCGCTCTGCCTGCGCTGCAAAAGCAAGTCAGAGCTGTTGCCTTCCAGAGCACGTAAACAGGACCTGTTCATGTAAAGCAGGGCTTTCAGCGCCTTCAGAAAGGCTGTTTTGTTTTCTTTCCAAATAAGTGGAAGTGCTGACAAAGTTCAGGAAATTTAGAAGAATTAGGGAACATACTGTGCAATATTTACTACTGTTCCTCAGCCAAGCGTCTCAGCAGCCTGTTGAGAAAAGTCTAGCCAGAGCTGTATGCTTAGGCTTGTCTGCAAACAAGGATTCATAGCAAAGCATTTTGTGGCGGCATGGGAGAGGGAGGGATGTCAGGAGGCAGGGAGGGAGAGAGGCAAAACCCCCTTCTCATCTAGCTGAAAGCTGGGCATAACAGCCGGGAGAGTTCTTTGGGATTAGGGAACTCCACAGACCTGTTCAGTGAAGAGATTTGGTGTTGTGATAGTTACATTTACACAAGAAGAACAGCAGCTTTTACCCTAATTAGTACTTTGCACAGACGTGACACTGAACTGAACTCTTAAAAGAACCCCAGCTTTGCCCCTCTGCCACCGTGCTCACTGACGTAGGCGATGAGGATAGGATATTGCTTATAGCCTTATCCAGGGGGAAACAGAGCTGAAGCGTGTCAGAAGTCACTGGCACCGGGGTGCATGATTTTGGGGGGTGAGCCGTGAGGGCCAGGCCGGCTGGGTGGGTGGGTGCAGGAGGTCAGTGTGCAGGAGGTGCTGCTGACCTCTAGGGGAAGGACAGTGCTCTGGGCCCAGTCCCTGATGCTGCCCCTTGAGAAAGGCAGAGGAGGAGGAAGCCAACCAAGGAGCCTGGAATCTCCCAGTCCAGAGATGAAGGGCCACCTTTATTGTGCCGGTAGAGGGGGATCACAGTGGTCGCTCAGAGGTGAAACACGGTTGGTCCCACTGAGGCGTCCAGGCCGTGCGCTGGGAGTTTGGGCCCGATGTCGCAAGTGGGAGTTGTCTCGCAGCCACGCGGGCCTAGCGGGGATGGAGCTGCTGCCGCTTTCCAGTGCCGCGGAGTCAGAGGATGCTGCCGATGGCCCATGCCTGCTGGTTCTGGGGCTCCTGGTCTCGCGTACTGGCGAGCACTGGGGCAGCCCCTCACTGCCTGGCTGTGGGTGCTCCTTTCACCACGTGGTGCTGGCGGTTGGCTTCTCTCCTGCTGTCTTCTGGGCCGCGTGTAGGCAGTTTGGGTGTGACAGTTCAACTGGGAGCACAGCGGGAAGCTGTGGCATGGCCCGATTGTTGCAGTGCCAGTGCCTGGTGCCAGGGAACCGTGGCATGGCTATAAAGCCTCCTGGCTGTCAGTGCTGGAGCTGCTGCTCCCTGATGACTCCTGACTGTCACTGCTGCAGCAGCTGCTAGCACGTGCTGGGGAGCGCTGGGATAGCCGCGACACAGCCTGTCTGCGTGTGCTCCTGGTTGCACGTGGTGCTGGCGTGTGGCTGCTCAAACGGCGTCTTTTGCGCCGCGTGTTGGGAGTTTGGGCCCGGCGTTGCGAGCGGGAGCGGTCTCGCACCCGCACGGGCCCGGTGGATCTTGAGGCGCTGCCTCTTTGTCGTGCTCTGGAGCCACGGGATGATGCTGACGGCCGCTGCCTTGTGATGCTGCGGCTGTGGCTCGCACGTGCTGGTGAGCCCTGGGACAGCCTGGGCGCAGCCTGTCTGCGGGGGCTCCTCCCAGCTCGTGCTGCTGGTGTGCGGCTGCCCTGGGAGCGTCTTCTGGGCCGTGCATAGGGAGCTTGGGCCCGACGCTGCACGCGGGAGCGGTCTCGCACCCGCATGGGCCCACCGCGTCTGTTGCTCCCGCTTCTTTGCAGCGGTGCAGAGCCACGGGATGCCGCTGATGGCTGCTCTCTGGTGGCGCTGCACCTGCGGGTCTCACGTGATGTGCAGCGTTGGGACAACCTTGGCACCGCCTGGCTGCGGGTATTGATCACAGAGCGTGTTGCTGGCAGTCGGCTTCTCTCCTGCAGTCTTCTAAGCCACGTGTAGGGTGTCTGGGTCTTACGGGTGTACCGGGTTTGGTGTTGCCGTCGGTCAGGCCCAGGGTGGCTGGAGCGGCCGCTGCCCTCACACACTGGGCAACTGTGGCATGGTGCTGATGGCATCTGTCTGCTGCTGCTGGGGCTGCTGGACTCCTGAGCCTGAGGTTCCAGAGTCTGCCCCGGTGCCGCCTGTCTGCTGCTGCTGGGGCTGCTGGACTCCTGTGCCTGAGGTTCCAGAGTCTGCCCCGGTGCCGCCTGGCTGCTGGGGCTGGGGCTGCTGGACTCCTGTGCCTGAGGTTCCAGAGTCTGCCCCGGTGCTTCCTGGCTGCTGGGGCTGGGGCTGCTGAACTCCAGTTCCAGAGATCCAGGAGTCTGCCCCGGTGCTTCCTGGCTGCTGGGGCTGGGGCTGCTGAACTCCAGTTCCAGAGATCCAGGAGACTGCCCCGATGCTGCTGCTGGGCTGGCAGTGCTGGGACCAGCAAGCTCTAAGCTGGCACTGGAGGCTACAAGGGAAAGCAGGAACGTCAAGGGCTTGGCTCCCAGGCCTGGGGCAGGGTAGGCCAGAGCGCTGCCCCAGCCCTCCTGGAGCAGACAGGCTCTGCCAAGCCCACACCAGGCACCCGCTGCTTGGCCTTGCCTGGCCCCTGGCCCCAGCCCCGGAGTACCCGGGTGCTTTGACACTTACAGATGCTCGGGCCAGCACAGCCGTCACACTCCCATGTGGCCTCATGGCTGTTCCCCACGTTGGAGCAGCGTCTGTGAGTGCCCACAGCAGCGCAGGAGTGGCACAGGAAGAGCTGCCAGGGCCTGGGGAAAGAAATGGGTTCATGTCTCTAAGGATAAAGTGCCCACAGCACGGGATTGTCCAGCAGAGCTCTTGTTCTCAGCCCTTCTGCTTCGAGCCCTTGTTGAGGCAGAGGTCCCGTGCCGAGCCCCAGGGTGCATCTTTGGCAGCTTACCCGTCTGGCTCTACTTCCTCCCTTCCTCCTGGACAAAGGCACTCCCTGGCATCGCAGCTCCTGTGCCTCTGGTACAGTTCTGTGTATGCACTGTTGTCTTCCCATGCCGCCTTTCTGATGGAGAAAGGAAAATGGATGAGCCCCTGCTGCCCCAGCATAATGCATATGCAGGGTCTCCCCGCTCTTCCCCCCAGACCCTGTTTCCAACTCCAGCATGGAGCTAAAGCCTAGACTTGGGGGTCAGCAGAGGGCCACAACTGCGGGGGCAGGTCCAGGCGTGGCACAGTGCTGGCCAGGAGGACACCAACCTTATGGGGATTTGGATCCCCATGAGGAGCATTTCTGTTAGAAACAGTTTCGTATTTTGACACAGAGGGCAGCGCAGGCAAAAAGCGCCAGCCCTCATAGCCTGTCCCTGCAGGAGAAACAGAAAGAGCGTGAGTGAGGCTCTGGTGCTGCTGAGAGCCTGCCGTGCCCGGAGCAAGGGAACAACTGCTACCTGGATGCACGCCCTGTGGAACCAGGCATGTTTGCATGCTGGGCACACCATGGTCCCATAGGTCGTTCTGCCTTCAACAGGGTCCCTGCAGATGAGGCAGTTGGTGTCCTCTGGAGCCGCCTGCTCTTGCTGTTGTGGGCGGTGCTCCCAGCAGAAGGAACTAGGGGAAGAGGGAAGGCATGGGTGAGATGAGAAGCGCTGGGTCCTTCCCTGGAGATGGGGAGAAGGGTAGAGGGGGTACCTGAACGGCAGGAAGTAACGGGTGATGCATCCACCCTCCATGGCACAGGGGAGATGGAACCTGCGGTCGCAGCCCATCTCCTGGCAGGTGACGGTGGCCCCCCTCTCGCCACACACAAAGCAGACCTGGAAAGAGCAGGGCAGCCCCCATCAGCGGCAGCCTCAGGGTCTCCACAGCCAGACCCACACCTTGGGGCAGGGGGCGGGATGTGGCCCCAGCTGGATCACAGGCCACAGATCCACCTGGCAGAGCAGGCTCCTGTGCTGGAGCCTCTGTGGAGCTGCTGGGAGCAAGACTTCTGTCCCAGAGCTGGGTGGAAAATCTAGGATTCTGTTCCTGGCATCTGCGCTAAACTCCCGCAAACCTCTCCTGGCACGAGTCACCCTGATCATCTCAGATCCTCACCATCTGGGCTGCCTGATACACTGTCAGTAGAACATCCGTAAGAGAAAATCCGATCTCTTCTTCCTCTTCGGTCCCTTGGGGATGAAGGTCACTGGCAAAAAGCTGCAGAAGAGCAGAGACAAGGAGCAGATGAGGGGCATGTGGCAGGGCAGGTGCATTGCAAAGATAAAGCCAGCCCCAGAGGAACTCACCAGGCAAAAGCGATGGACACAGCCCCATTCATAATTCCGTTTTGGCCCGCAGATGTCCGGGGCTGCCTCTGTGCGGTGACACAGCACGCATGCTGGAGGGGAGAGAGCAAATGCCACGGAGAATGAGCACCTCTGTGGGGCCAGGGATGCATCCCTGAGGGATTGCCCCCAGGGGCTGCTCTGTCCCTGCCTAGCTGGCTACTGAGCAGGGCTGGAAGCCTTGGAGAGGAAAGGGCACTGCAGGCATGGGTGTCCCGGAGGGTGCGCACTGCCAAGCCCTGGTCCCGCTTGCCAAGCAGAGGAGCGGCCCTCCCGCAGGGTGGCTTTGGAGCTCCTGCCTCCCCCTGCCAACGCTCCCGGTGCATGCCCACAGCCTCAGGAGTCCCTCTGCCAGGCTGTAGGAGGGGGACTTTGCTCTCACCCTGCTCCATCGAGTCGGGTGTCCTAGACCTCCTTGCGGAGGTGTCAGACATCAAAGGTGGGCGCTTGGAGAGTCCCTGTCCCAGCAGCGCTGGGGCTGCTTCTCCAAATGCTCCTCTGCTACCTGTGAGGGAGAAGAGAGACGCGGGTGAGCTTGCAGTACAGGCCCAGAGCCCTGCGGTGTGGAGCCCCCTCGTTCCTCGGCAGGCCCCCGAGAGCCCTGTCCCTGCCCTCTACTCCCCGCACCTCAGCAGGTCGCAGCGATGCACTGTGCCCGGCGTTCCCTTTCTTATAGGCCTGCCCCCGGCACCAGTCACAGTGGCCTCTGTGACATGAGCACCGCTGGCCCGCGTGCGCCCCAAGTATGGGCAGGGGCACCCTCGGCCACACACCACCCACTGTGACACGGACACTGCATCGCAGGGCTGGCTGTGAAGCGCACAGGCAGGGACCCGAGCAGGTCTGCGGGCCTGTGTTCCAAGTCACATTAGGATACCTTGCAATCCTTGGATTACAAGTACAACCCAGATCTCAAATCTGAAATTAATTTGGACCTGCCTGACAGCTTTTACTGTTAAATTTTTAACAGAGATTACCATGTCCCTTACTCTTGTTGGGTTTAGGGGTTGTTTGTGTCTTTTGAAGCTTCGCTGCAGGTCACTGTTTTATGACTTTGCAAGTTTGGTGTATTTTTTCATCAGATGGTGGTGGGGAATAGTCCAGGAATCTCTTAAGAAGAAAAGCACATTTAAAAGAAAAAAACCACCACAGACTCCTCAACAGAACGTGCCAGGGGCAGGTAACGAGCTCAGATAGCTTAACAGTGCTGAAGCAGAGTTAGAACCATTGGGAAGAGTCACTTTCGTGCCTTTGTTGTGTATACTGACACGGGACGACTGAGTATTGTACTGAGGAGAAGTACTGATTTAGTTTGTGCCCAGAGAAAATACCTTCATTGCACACTTCATCAAGCATATCAGAAGAGGAGAGATTGGGTTCAGATTTGGGAATATTGTAAGCTTTTATATAAAACACTTTGTAACAATGGGAATAGTGTTGGCGTAGATACAGCCAACAGATCTGAAAGCTGAAGCATTCACAAAAAATTCACAAGTTCTGTTTGTGCTAAGGGGTACCTCTAAAATCCCCAGCATTTTCAACTATCTTAAACATGACATTGTCATAGAAAAGAGGGAAATATCACATTGTCAATACCGTACTTTAAAACCAAAGGTTTCAAATATACATCTGGACGTTTAATCTGCGTCCTAACTGAGCTTGCTCTGATCCGCATAGATTGAAACAGAAGATGCAGGAACTCTGGGCCTGCCTTAGCCAAAAGGTTAAGTGTAACAATTTACAATCATATAAAAATCGTCCTACCGCTGAATTCCAGTATGCTGGCTTTTTTTTCTTTTTTTACTTCAATCTCTGAAAAGACTCAAATCAATTTCACATTTATATGGGATCACTATCTATTTAACTTTTCCGTGGGTCCTAAAAATGTACAAGACGTTTATTTTATAGAATCATAGAATGGTTAGGGTTGGAAAGGACCTTAAGATCATCCGGTTCCAAGCCCTCTGCCATGGGCAGGGACGTCTCGCAGTAAACCATGCCACCAAAGACTCCATCCAGCCCGGCCTCGAGCACCGCCAGGGATGGAGCGTTCACTACTTCCTTGGGCAACCCGTTCCATCTAAAGCAGCTTTACGAAAAGTAAAACCATGGGATCATTTAATTTGGCCTGGTTTTCCTAAAATATTTTCCAAATAACAGAGGAGCCCCTAACTATACACAGGAAGATGCTTAACTCGCTGCATACTCTCTTGCTCCGCTTTTAATTACTGAGGAACAAGAATAAGCCCCGAGAGTTCTGTTATTGCTTCTTCTCCAGTTTACACTGTATCGCACTTGCAGGTGCTGCAGGACCAGCAATTTTAGAGTGCACCATCATGTAGGAGAACAAAATAAATTACTATGTCACTAACGTGTTTTTGCTAAACCGAGTCAAAATAACAATGAAACAGGCAGTTTGGGCCTTGGGCGTGCTCTGTTTTGTCCGGGTTCTCATCTCAGAGGAGGGTATACATCCCTTTAACAGAGAGATGCCTCTAGCAAAAAGATGGTGCCAGAGCAAAACAGCTCTGGCTCATACAGCTGCTCGGCAATTCTGTTTCTTGTCAGGAATGACATTCTTTCTAGTCACTAATGAAATCTGAACCCAGTCACGGTAAGCGAAATTTGCCCGGGCTTGAGAGTCAATGAAATGTTATTTCTCTCGTGACTCTTCAGAGCGTGAAAATGCTTCCTTTCTCGAAAAGCTGCTGCAGATGTCCATCTGTGTTTTCTGCAAGACAGTCTTATCTGAGAACAAGGAACGGTTTTATAAATACTTATGAGCACTGCTGCCTTGAACTGAATCCTGTTTGCGCGCCCCAGGACCGCAGCAGGGGCGGGTACAGCGAAAGGGCGCTGGGGAAGCGGCTCCCCCGGCGCCGGCACTGCCGGTACCTGCCGCGGCTGAGCGGCGGCCCCGAGTCCGGCCTCTCACAGAGCCGACAGCCGGCCACGGAGCGCCCCCTGGCGGCGGCGCGTAGCGCCGGCGCATGCGCGCGCGGTACAGGGCGGCCTTTCGGAGCCCCGCCTCTTTGGCTCCGGGTGGAAGTGACGCGGTTGTGGGCGCCATGGCGGAGGCGGCGGGTGGGCCGCAGCCGGGGGGTGAGGGGAGCTTGCGGTCGGTCGGTCGGTCGGTCGGTCGGTCGGTCGGTCGGTCCGTCGCGCCGGCCGCACTCATGCTCTAGCCTCGTTGTCCGTTGCAGATTGCCCAGGGAGCAGCAGCGCCCAGGCGGGCAGGGCCGCCGCCTGCCAGGGCTGCCCCAATCAGGGGCTCTGCGCTGCCGGCGCCGCCCCGGCCCCGGCCCCGGGTGAGCGGGGCCTGGGCGGGGGGGGGGCGGGCCTTGTGTGTAGAGGGGCTTGTGCAGGGGGCGGGGCCTGTGTAGTAAGGGGAGTCTATGGGAGCTTGTGGGAGTGGGGGCGTGGCTTGGGTAAGGGGCGTAGTTTGTGGTGGCGGAGTTTATGGGGGCTTGGGCAGGGGCGGGGCTTGAGCTGGTCGTGCCTGCTCGTCGCTGACCCTTGTGGCTGCCGCAGCGGAGCTGTCGGAGCTGCGGTCGCGGCTGCGGGCGGTGAAGCACACGGTGCTGGTGCTCTCGGGGAAGGGCGGCGTGGGCAAGAGCACCTTCAGCGCGCTCCTGGCTCACGGGCTGGCGGCGGACGAGGCCAAGCAGGTGCGCGGGGCGGGCGGCACGGGGTGGGGCTGCGGCGGCCGCCCTCCGCTCGGATCTGCGGACCCGCTGTGGGTGCGCCGGAGCGTTCCAGGCGGCTGCCAGCGGGGGGCTGGGCTGTGTTCCAGGTTGCTCTGCTGGACATCGATATCTGCGGGCCATCCATCCCGAAAATGATGGGTCTGGAAGGAGAACAGGCAAGCGAACGCTCAAACGTGTTGATTAAAGGATGTCTGCCCAATTTGTCATTAACGTTTTAGGGTCTTGTAGGGTTTAGTGGAACTTCTAAAAGGACAGTTTATTGGGAAATGGATGTGGCAGTGGGCAAGGAAGTCCCGGCAAGATGGACAAGTTCAGCGTGATGTAGTCTCTAAAAGAGTTGTCTCCTTTTAGGATGACCAGCTTGCAGGCTGACCAACTTTTGCTGTATATTGGCAAGCCAACTTTTGCTGTATATTGGCCGTATGTTCATGCCTACATAGAACTTAAGTGATGTCAGCATGATCCGCCCTAAAATATTTTATATCAATCTGTAAAGTCGTGGGTAAACTTGCAGCTGGGTTGAACAGTTGTTATTCACTTGCTAATGGAGATCTGGTTCTCCTGCAGCTCTTAGCTCAGGCGCTGCAGCGCAAGCATCACCGCACCTATTGGCAGGGCAGCGCTTTATGTGTTTTGTGTGACATCTGTATTCATTTGCAGCATCACTTGATGGCTCTTGTCTGTTTTCAGGTTCATCAGAGTGGGTCTGGCTGGTCTCCAGTGGTGAGTTGGGGCAACCCTTGCAGAGAGGCCATTGGGTTTGTTTGGGTTGTGCACTGCCTGCCAGGGGGGAAACTAATGGGGCGGGGTTAAATGGGGTGCTGCTGTTGGTTCTTTTTGTAATGACATAAATTCCCAGACCCTATAGAACTTATGGGCTATATATAAAAATCAACGTTTAATTTCTTAATAATACTCTCTTTCTTGAATAGTTTATGAATTTAAGTATGCCTTGTTTACTGAATTTCTGACTATACTCTTGACTACTGCGCGTATGCTGTTAAACACCACTGTAAGTCTTACTACGACTGGATTTTTTCAGTCTGTGAATGTAGCTGGTCAGCATTTTGCAAAAGGTGTAGTTTCTAGTGCCCTTTGATCAGACTTATGTAGGTTTTCTGCCATTATTGTCTTCATGGCTCCCCTCCCCACCTGCTTTTTCTACAAGGTCTGATTTCAGAGTTTGTTTCCCTAGTCTGTCTTTGCTGTTCTGCATGTTCTAACTGAGTGTCTCTACTTCTCATAAGTATGTTGAAGAAAACTTAGGTGTCATGTCTGTGGGGTTCTTGCTTAGTAGTCCTGATGATGCTGTCATTTGGAGAGGACCCAAAAAGAATGGTATGTATCAAGTGTTTTTAATGGTAATTTATGTAATTGAAAGATTTCATGTCATAAGCACATTTAATTAAGAACTTAAATAGTATGGTAAGCTGTAGGAACAATGAGTGAATGGTTACTTATTTTCTTTAGTTGAACATTCATTTGATGAAAGTCAAGTGCTGTCTTTTTGTAAGTTACAGAATCACAGATCATTTTGGGTTGGAAAATACCTTAAAGCTCATCCACTTCCAACTGTATCCATCCTGTCCATGGACAGGCATTCCTTCTACTAGACCAAGTTTCTCCAAGCTCCATCCAACCTGGCCTTGAACACTGCCCGGGATTGGGCAGCCAGAGCTTCTCTGGGCTCCCTGTGCCAATGCCTCACCACCCTCCCAGGCTCATCTCAATCTCCCCTCTGTCAGGTTAAAGCCATTCCCCTTTTTCTGTCACTACAGGCTTGTCAGAAGCCTTAGGAAAATAAGCGTTCCTGTAGTTAAGTTGACAAGTCAGCAGAATCTGCAGACTTGGACTGTAAAAGTTGAAAGACTCTAAAATTTTAACTACGTGGAGATTTTTTTCCTCTTCCACATTTTTTATCCTTTCTTTTAGGTTTGATCAAACAATTTCTTCGTGATGTGGACTGGGGTGAAGTGGACTACCTGATTGTAGATACACCTCCAGGAACATCAGATGAACATTTGTCTGTTGTGCAGTACCTCAGTGCAACGCACGTCGATGGGGCTGTTATAATCACTACCCCTCAGGTAGGAGAACTTGGTTTCTGTTGGTGAAAGCCTCGTGGCAGTTACAGCTGATTCTTGGGTTAGAGACGGACTGCAAAGAAATGACAGTCCAGAACCAAAGTGAGTTGTTATTCCTGGTTTGTCCTACAGCTGGCTGGTTTGTGAGATATGGGTGTTTTGGGAGAGAGGGGGGATCTGAGCAGGTCACTAAATCACTAGGCAGTTCACAGTCAAAAGCTGTTGGGTTGTGCATGGAGAAAAGGCAGGATTTTGCTTCATTCTTTGAGCAAGATCATAGTTCACATCGTCAATCTGTAATCTGCTCAACAATGGCCTAGTGCTCAGGAATCAGGGAGAAGTATAGTTTTTAAGTGGTAAGATGTGCATTGTTTTACACCACGTGAAGCCTGTTGCTTCCAGTAGGCAACATTATGATGTGCATTTTTAAAGAAGAAAAGTCAGTACCTGGAGAGCTAAAAGTCAGCAAACATGTTGTAGTGCTTGGCTTGGCAAGGAAGGGGAGATCTAAGTAGCAAAAGACATGTAGCATTTCCACAACAGGTGAAAGAATAAAATGTGAAGGAAGTGAAGTGGTGAAGGCAATACTGGATGGGTGGCGAGGGAAGAAGAGGGGAGCAGGAGAATTGAAAGAGGTCATACATATATCTGAAAAGTCTGAGGGGATGGTGAACTGTTTCCAATTGAATTTGGTGGTTCTTGTCCTTGCCTGCTCTACTGAGAATCCCAGGGGTCTTCCTGTAAACTGAAAATGTGAGAAGTTACCTTTCAAGAGCTAAAGATATGAGATTAATATAGGAGATGAACGTGGCTGAATCTCTGCTAGAGTCCAGTCAGATTTCAAAACAGAACCACATTCAGTGGGCTAGAACTGCTGAACCTGTTCTACTGCTATGTTTAGAATTGTTGCTGGAGCACATAAGAGGTTCATGGTCTTCAAAATACAAACAGAACGGTAATAATTCATCATAAACTTCCCTTAAAAATGCTCTAAGTGGGTTCAGCATCCAAATGTTACAGTCACAATAGCAGAGTTTCCCAATGGTTGCAGGAAGTAGCACTTCAGGATGTTCGGAAGGAGATCAACTTCTGCCATAAAGTGAAACTGCCAGTCATAGGTGTTGTGGAAAATATGAGTGGCTTTGTATGTCCAAAGTGTAAGGTAAGGCTGCCTGCATGCTGCAAAGGGTTTTACCATGGCCCCAAACCCACCTTGCTCTCAAAAATTGCAGTATTTAACTCTGATTTTCATGTTGTCCCAGAAAGAATCTCAGATCTTTCTGCCGACTACTGGAGGTGCAGAGAAGATGTGTCAGAATTTAAGTGTTTCACTCCTGGGTAAAGTGCCTCTAGATCCTCAAATAGGTAAAGCTACTGTAGTGCACTATGCTTAATACAAGCTTTTTCTCCTATACTGACATTGTTACTGGAAAACCCTGGCTTGGACACTCATAAATTAGAATATGAAATATTTTGCCTTAGGTAAATATTCCCTTTTAGCTAGGACATTTATTTTTTTTCAGTCAGAAGTTCCTGGGACTGCAGCAGAGTGTGGTGTGAAAGGGGAAAGTGCTCGGATAACTCCCTTAGCCTGAAACATAATCTTGTTTAAGATTAGATTATGCATCTTTTCAGCTGCATAATCATATCTGAAGAACAACATGTCTTTATGTCTTTCTCTTTGGTTTCATCACCTGGAAGTGCAGACTGAAAAAATTGACACCACTACAAAGAATAGTATCTTGTGGGTGTTAAGTGTTAAAACTAGTGCTTTAACTTCAGAGTTCCTGGAACCACCCAAGTTCCCTCCCTTATGGAGAGTGGAAAGGCTTGGTTCCTTGCCCACCAGCTGTTACCAATTAATACTTGATTTAATGACATCCAGGAACATGTCAGTACTTCCAGACTAATGAGTGAAGGTTCCTGCTGATAGTATTCCTTCATAGAACTGTAAGCTGTAGTTCTCAGTTATATTACTGACATGAGGAAGAGATGCAGGTAGCTCTTTGGAGAGAGATAACTAGTAGTGGAATAAAGGATAAAATAAACTTAACCTTTTCCCATTGCTTTACTTTTGTGTTTTTCCCTGTCCTTCAAGGGAAATGTTGTGACAAAGGCCAGTCTTTCTTGTCTGAAGCACCTGAGTCTCCAGCTACGTCATCGTACAGGAACATCATTCAGAGTAAGTCTGAAAATCACTGTGTTGAATGCATCCTCCCAGCTCTGAGCACTTCTGCAATAAATATCTGTATTAAGCAGAATTATGTTGGTTTGCCTCGAATAATAACAACAATAGACATGTGTAGTAGTTATGAAAGTAACATGCAAATACTAATTCGCATTTCTGGTCATCAGTTACAACAGGCTTCTCAAGCAGAAACAAAACTGTATTTAATAACTGGTTTCAACATTTGGCTTCAGTCATTAGCTTAGTTTTCAGAAAAGATGTGTTTGTACTTGCCCTCACAGAAACGTCCCAGGATTCTTGATCAGGCCTGTTGCATCTGAGTGTGACACAGCTGGCAAAGTATTGCCTCCACTTCTAACTGTAATGGCACAAAAAACCCATACAAAAGCTACCTGAAGAGCCGGGGATGGACAGTTTGAAAAAATACAATGGCTGGGAAATTCCTAAAGCCATTTTCACTGTGATAAAGGCCCAGCTAATGGTGTTTGTATTAACAGGGGACAGAGTAAAGCAGCAGTAATTAACTTGTGAAGTGCAACTGAAATATTATTTATATTAGTTTATCCCTGTCTTTGCAGGAATTCGGGAGTACTGTGATCAACACCATCTTCCAGAAGAAAAGATTATTTAATCTAGGAATGGAATAAAAATGTAGTTCCTGTTTAATTATAGAAAAATAACTTACGCCTTGAAATAATAGAAGGAATGTATTCTTTTTGTATATTGCAAATAAATTCTTAATGCAAATGTTCTTGCCTTAGGTTCTTTCCATAGTTAAGACTCCTATAGTTCATAGGTGGTCTCAAACCTTGCTATAGCGCTGTAAAACTGAGTCATCAGCTGGGTTGCATAGGTGCAGTCTGCATCCTGTATTGTCATATTAACAGACTAAACGTGCAGATGGCATTTGAAGACATGCGTGCATGAGATTTTATTTAGAAAATTGAATATAAAATGCACTTCTTTGGTATGGGGGTGTTGTATCTAATGTATCTGCTACACACACGGTAGCATGGGCTGTGACACCTGCTCGCTTGTGCTTTCACTGATAACACCATTTCAGTGGAAAAGATTGTATTTTGAGTGAGATTCAGTGCAGTAGTGTCTCTTCTTTTTACAATTGCCATCAGTTTTAAAGTAAAAACCTACTGGAATTTAAGTGGGTTAATTATAGTACAGTATTTTATTTATTACAGGTATTAGAATAGGGTTAACGGACTGTAACTACACATAACTGGCTGCTCCACACAAGTACTCTGTGAACTTGCTGAGTGACTTTTGTTCTTCCTTCAACGTGACTGTAAGCCTGAACACTTAAAAATAAGCATTTAGTATCTTTGAGAGGCCATTTGTGATTATAATTCCTCTCTGTTTTTATTGAGGAATCAAAGGTTTGAGAAACCAGCATTGTGTTCCAGGGGGAAAGGCAGTTTGGTTTTGTTTATTGTAGTTCTAAAATAAAACAAATGAGCATCATTTTCTGATTCCATGCTAATTCTCGGTTAAAATAATACAACAGTTTGGGGTTAGTTGACAGATGGGTCAGTGTGCTCTGTATGAACTGAAAGCATTGAGTTTGTGACTATATAAACCACTTCTTGATGAAACTTGTAAGTAGCAAAGGCTCTAAACCTTTCAGAATCTAAAGACTTGAACACAAATGACAAAATCATGATTTCATGCAGGTATAATTCTAGAAGAGCTTTACTTAAGTACTTTCCAATGAAGAACAGTTTTCACAAATGAGTGTTTTTACTATTCATCCTCCTTGTTCTTCCTTATTTGATTATCTAGTGCCTGTCTTCCCATGTTCCTCAGTGCGGTCTCCTGACATTCTCCTTGTCTGTCCTGTAGGATGAACACAGGACATGAGTGTGTCAGCACCCCTAGTATGTAGGAATCTTATATAAGAATTAGGGAAGAGCCAGGTGGAAGCCTGAGGGTTGAAGATGGGTCCCCCAGCTGTACCTAACCAGAGGCACTATGAGACCTCAGGAGGCACCTCTCCAAAGGCTTAACTTGGAGGACATTCTTCATGGGGTTTGGAAACAGCTCAGCTGGGAAGCTTCAGCAGGCATCCAAACACAGAGCAGAGTGAAATGGAGTAAGGCTTAGTGGAGAGTCAGGACATCCCTGCCAGGGTTATTGCAGAAGCTAAGACCTGGGAAGAGCCAAACGCAACAGTGTGGGGCAGGTTGGTATGTGGTACTTCATGGGTTGTAGCTGACAGACCAACTTGGTACTTACTCTTGGGAACATCTGCTGTGACAAAAAACCTTGAGGTTACTCTACTGATGCTTTTTTGTCCCCCTAATTTGCAGTGGATGTAGCCATATAAATTAGCAGTCTGAAGGGAGATCCCAGCTATCACAAGAGCCTGTGGACAAACAAAAGTTGAGTTGGGATAAATATACCACTATATACAGACTGTATGTGTAGAATATATATATACAGGTCTGTACATGTGTGTGCATACGATTTAAATATACAAAAATGCTACAAGAGGGAGACAGTCCTTCCAATAATGAAGTATCTTCAAACAGATCCAATTGTATCAAACACAATAGTTCCTTTCTACAAAATGTCTCTTTATCAAAACACTGATACATATTTATTTTGTCACTCTGTGTCTTGAAAGATTTCATTACTTTCCTAAAAGCACTTAATCAAAAAGCACCTATTGAACAGATTCCATAATCATTCCACTTTTGTTAAGCCTGATTTGTATCTGCAAGTTTCACATCCATATACATAGCAAACCTGCAGTCTTGTTTAGCTGACAAATGCCCTATTAAATACAAATAAGATCCTGTAACTTGCAGATTTCCAAAGAGGATTGATAGATAGGAATCAGTATCTAGCATTATCAGGCAGTGAAAATAATCTGATCCTTTTGTGGTATTGTAGGTTTAGCAGCAGGCAGAATCCATTTGATTGATTGACTAATGAAATAACTTGCTGAAGTTGTTTTTCTTAGCCTCAGCAACAGTTTCCTTGGAGCTATCATATTTTCATCTGTGTAACTTGCCTTTTGCAACCACCTGAACAACCTGCATCCAGTGCCAGTTAGGGTTCCACCTCAAACCAGCTCCTAATTTAGCAAACAAACTGGTCCTAAAGATAAAGCTGGAGTGGTGGAGAAAGACTGCAGTTTAATTCAACTATTGCTTGTTAGGCTGTGCCATTCAGGGCAGCAGAAAGTGGTTAATGATTTGTAATTGATTCATACACATAGCTAAATTTCCTGTTTTATTTAATAAAATGTAATCTGTTACTGGTTATGTAGCTGCGCATCTCCAAGACGCTTTTTATTTTTTCAAACTGAATTAAGAACTGTACTGAGGAGCAAGGCTAGGAACTTGACAAAATGAGTTCTATGGGGATTATCCAGGCAATATGAAGATTTACGCAGGGAAAATATGAAGATTTCATAGAAAAAGATATCTTAATGCAGTTTATGGAGCAAATTTCCTTTTGTAGTTAGAAAAATACATCATGTACTTTTTTTTTTCTTTTTGGTAGGCTAGGTTGCTTATAAATACAGGAATTATAAAATACATGCCGACAGCTCAATTTATCAAGGTTTTAAGCACTATGGTATTGATTCTTTCAAAGAGGAATGGTATCAGAGACTTATTTTTAAGAGCAAGTAACATTCCAGTCCCTAGGATATTTAAAAACCTGAACACCAGCATCACTGGTTTGCTTTTTGTCCTATCCTATTCACTTTCTTTGAATTAAGTTGGGGAAAGTAGGTTGCTACACTTAAAAAGAAGTCCACAATTTCACCAGCCACTTCAGGTTCTCAAGTTAGATGAAAGAGCTGACATTTAACAACCTGGCAGAAGTGGGGCTAAAAATTAATCTGTTCCAGAGTGCAGGGCTTGACTGCAGAAAACTTCTTGTGATGGCATGAAGCTGTTACTAGAATTTTTGTACTGTTACAAGTTCTGTACTTGTTCAAAGACTCTTGTAAAACTAACAGACCCGGGCTGTTCTCTCTATCAACACTTCCTGTCAGCCACAGGTCTGTCAGTACCCCCAGACTTACCAGCCATTTCAGCTTCAAGGAGAACAACGTGCTAAAGAAAAACATGGTCCAAATAACTGGACAGATAATGAGACCAAGCCAAAAGATTTGTGCTTCAGCTTCAGTTGAGGCAGCTGTTGAAGGCGCCTACAAGAAAAATTTTTGAAACCACTAGTCACAAAGACAAAAGCCACAATAAATAACAAATCAGTAGAGGAGGAGAAATAGGTAAGATTACATCTTTACCTAAATTTCACTTACTATATGCATAGAAGGAAGACTGAATAAGCAGAGAAGTAGCTAATGCCAGGTTTTCTGCCTGCTGCCCTACCATATGTTGACAGTTTTTTCTTGTCAAAATGTTCTGGTCTTTGTTCACATTTGAATGAGAGAATTATTCCTTTTGTCACTGACACTAACACTAACACTATGGATCAGTAGTAGTATTTTAAGGTCAAGCTCTGTTACACTGACAATTCGTTTTTAAACTTCAGAAATACTAAGTTAACTGTGATGTTAACTCTAGGCCTTAGAGAAGTGTGAAACAGAAGATAGTGGTACAAGCAGAAGAACTTCAGTGCGAGTACTTCACTGTCTGTAGTGTAAATTCATGACAGGTGCCCTGTTCACAAATCAAAAGCATGAGGGGGAAGGGCAGAAAGTCTGCAAAAAAACCTCAAAGCAGACTGTAGAAAGCTGTGGTTGCAGGTATTTTCAGGTCAACACAGCTCCTGTCTTTACATACACTGAAAGGCTCATTGTTAACTCCTATTACCTAAAAGATACTAAAGAAATTGTACAGAAGATTCTGATCTTTTCTAGAAAACCAGAATTCAAAATCTCACTCCAAACCTCAGATCACTCCACCACCACTTGTGCCAGCTTCTGAAATACAACTGGGTAAGAAAACCCTGGGGACTCTTCCACTCTGAAAACCAAAAAGCTTTTTAGTTCATTTTCAGTATCTTGAATTCTCATGTAAAAATAAGATTCATCCATCCATCTTGAGGCAGACAGTGGCATCCAACTTGTAAATAAGATTAAGTTACTCTATCTCGCCTAAGAAAACCCCGAAAGACACAATAATTACAAGGTGTCTTTAATTTTCTCATGTACTCTCCTAACCAGTGATGTTGCAGAGGTCCAGAGAATAATGTTCTATGACTTCATAGTTACAGAAGAAGACAGATGTTCTGGATCAGTAAAACAGTTTAATCACCTGTGTCCCAAACTATCGACAAATTACCCGACAGGACACTGCGCTAGCCCTGACTATTTAGGAGGAAAAAAAGTCAGTACACCTGAGGACTCTGCACCTAAAAGACCTAATTAACTTGATTGAGCAAGATTACAAAAGGCTGCAATCATCCTAAAAGAAAGGAGAGAGGAACTGTGGTAGTTGGAATGTAAGTTTAAGAATTGCTTTTCTTAGAAGAAAATCTAAATCTCAGCAGAAGGTAGGATTTCAAGAGTGAGCCCCTGTTGTGCCAACAGCACCCCAGGAATTAGCTGCCTATTGTTGCTGGGACCAGTGCTGTTTAATATTTTCATCAACGACCTGGATGAGGGAACTGAATGTACCCTCAGCAAGTTTGCTGATGATACTAAACTGGGAGGAGTGGCTGACACACCAGAGGGCTGTGCTGCCATTCAGCGAGACCTGGACAGGCTGGAGAGTTGGGCAGGGAGGAACTTGATGAAATTCAACAAGGGCAAGTGTAGAGTCTTGCATCTGGGGAAGAACAACCCCATGTACCAGTACAGGCTGGGGGCTGACCTGCTGGACAGTAGTGAAGGGGAAAGGGACCTGGGGGTCCTGGTGGATAGGAGGATGACCATGAGCCAACAATGTGCCCTTGTGGCCAAGAAGGCCAATGGCATCCTAGGGTGCATTAGAAAGGGTGTGGTTAGGAGGTCAAGAGAGGTTCTCCTCCCCCTCTACTCTGCCTTTGTGAGGCCGCATCTGGAATATTGTGTCCAGTTCTGGGCCCCACAGTTCAAGAAGGACAGGGAATTGCTTGAAAGAGTCCAGCGCAGAGCTACAAAGATGATTAAGGGAATGGAACATCTCCCTTATGAGGAGAGGCTGAGGGAGCTGGGACTCTTTAGCTTGGAGAAGAGGAGACTGAGGGGTGACCTCATCAATGTTCACAAATATGTAAAGGGTGAGTGTCAGGATGATGGAGCTAGGTTTTTTTCAGTGATGTCCAGTGATAGGACAAGGGGCAATGGGTGTAAACTGGAGCATAGGAGGTTCCATGTGAACATCTGGAAAAATTTCTTTACTGTGAGAGTGACAGAGCGCTGGAACAGGTTGCCCAGGGGGGTTGTGGAGTCTCCTACATTGGAGATATTCAAGGCCCACCTGGACAAGTTCCTGTGTGATGTACTCTAGGTTACCCTGCTCTTGCAGGAGGGTTGGACTAGATGATCTTTTGAGGTCCCTTCCAACCCTTAGGATTCTGTGATTCTGTGATTTGGAATATTTCTAAGCAAATATAACTGTAAAGCAAGAGAACTTAAAGTTGCTAGAGGACTAGCAAAGAAGGTGGGGAATGCCTGATTCTGAAAATTAAGAGAATTGCACGTAGTCCAGGACCTTGCCAAGACAATGTATTTCCTACCGATGAGCCATGACAAAAATACAATCCACTCTAATGATATGTCCCTTCTGGGTGCTGTTTTTATGTTAATCAAGCTACCATTTGCCAGAAGGCTTTAGCTCATACAGCTGAGTCAACTTTGTACTTCTAGGCTAGAACTAACAAACTGTAGGAGGTGAATTAGGCTGGCTTATCTCAGTAATTTTGAGGTCAGGTCTTTTTATGGATGCTGTTGCTTTTAACTGCTAAGAAAGCTCTTGACTTGACAGAACTAAGGAACTCTGAAGGTGCTCTACTTTCTTTGCTTCCATGCAGGCTAGCCTATGTTTTGGGGTTTCAGTTGCAGTATGTTGACATCTCCACACCCACAAAGCAGCTACGGGTTGCAGTTTTGCTCAGCCACAGGGCTACTAGAGGGCACTCCAGGCCTGCACATGGAGAGTACCCACTCCACACTGTGCTGCTACACAGGCTCTGTGCGCAGCTGGACTGGCTGCAAAGAATTCTCCTAGTGAGTAGCACCTGAAGTGGTGTTCTTCCAGGCTCTTGCTGGAATGGGGTGGTGGGGAGCACGACTGCAAGTGAAAGCAAAAGCCTACAGTCTTTGACTGTGACAGCAATGCCACGCCATTTCAGAGTGTCTTTGCTCAGGGTGTTTGGGGGAGCACTGGCAGTATCAGAGTCCTCTGTGATTCAGGTTCTATTCCCCAGTATATTCCATGAGCATGAATAAAATATTAATTTTACCAACCTGGATACAAACTATTCAGCATTGCTTTCAACATAGATCTTTCCTAAAGAGGCTTCTGCATTGGGATTGACTATGGGAAGATATGTTTATTACAAGATATTCTCACTGGAAAACAGAACTACCAAAGCCATTTCATACCAGTAATACCATGCTATGAATTTTATTCTGCTGATGCAAATGGTGACTATGTTGTGAGTCTGGTTCTGTCCTAAATGTTTCCAGGATGTGACAATCCAGGGGCTTGCAACTGAATACTTACAGTATCTTCTATAGAGGCTGGATAAACATAACTATTACAAAGGTGCTCCTTGGTTACTTTATTTGACTTGGTATCAGCTTTACAAGCTTTCCTATGGATTCTGTTTGTCCTGTGCCTACTTTTGTTAGCAGACTTACCCTTTTGGCTTCAAATACCCAGTGGCTTTTTCCATCTTCATCAATCTGGTTCCACCAACGCAAACCAACCAAAAGTCTTCCTGTCACATTCTAGTGACAGAAACAATTATTTACATTAATCAGAAGCATAACTCACTTTTCAGACTAACAAAAAAGAAAGGCATGTCTGAAAATCATGTTATTTTGGAGCTAATTTTAGTATTTTATAAAAGCTGTGTCAGCCTGACCACAACAGTCAGTAAGGGTGGATGAGTTCCCACAAATTTAGAGGCCTACTCTTTCCAAACAAGATAATTAGTACAATAATACTGATTTAGGTAAGAAATTATAGGGTGTGTCTTTTCTAAGTCAGTTAGTTGGAGAAACCCTCAGTAAACAAATTTTCTCAGTAGGAGAGGAGAACTGCAAACAAAACCACAGTGGAAAAATGGATGATTAAGCTGTGAGGAATCAAGCAAACAAATTAAGAAAATATTTCTGCACCTGGTTGAATACTAGGTTTCAGTATATTGAATATACATCAATGCTTCAGTCCCATACAACTTGTTCACGTGTCCCTCAGAGGTTGGTGTTGGGACCGAATCTGTTCCACATCTCTGTCAGTGACATGGGCAGTGGAATTGAGTGTGCCCTCAGTAAGTTTGCCAATGACACCAAGCTGTGTGGTTTGGTTGGCAGCTGGAGGATAGGGATGAGATCCAGAGGGACCTTGACACGCTTGTGAAGTGGCCAATGCCAACCTCATGGAGTTCAACCAAGCCAAGTGCAAAGTCCTGCACCTGGGTCAGGGCAATCCCAGCCACAGCTACAGGTTGGGCAGAGAAGAGACTCAGAGCAGCCCTGCAGAGAAGGACTTGGGGGTGTTGGTTGATGAGAAAATGAACATGAACTGGCTTCAGTGTGCGCTTGCAGCCCAGAAAGCCAACCGTATCCTGGGCTGCATCAAAAGGAGTGTGACCAGCAGGTCGAAGGAGGTGATCCTGCCCCTCTACTCTGCTCTCGTGAGACCTCATCTGGAGTATTGTGTGCAGTTCTGGTGTCCTTAACATAAGAAGGACATGGAGCTGTTGGAGCAAGCCCAGAGGAGGCCATGAGGATGATCAAGGGGCTGGAGCATCTCCTGTATGAAGACAGGCTGAGGAAGTTGGGGCTGTTCAGCCTGGAGAAGAGAAGGCTGCATGAGGACCTCATAGCAGCCTTCCAGTATCTGAAGGGGGGCTACAAGGATGCTGGAGAGGGACTCTTCATTAGAAACTGTAGTGACAGAACAAGGAGTAATGGGTTTAAATTTAAACAGGGGAAGTTTAGATTGGATATAAGGAAGTTCTTTACTGTGAGGGCAGTGAGGCACTGGAACACGCCCCCCAAAGAAGTGGTAAATTCTCTGTCCCTGTCAGTGTCCAAGGCGATTGGACAGAGCCTTGGGTAACATGGTCTAGGGTGAGGCGTCCCTGTCCATGGCAGGGAGGTTGGAACTGGATGATCTTAAAGTCTTTTCCAACCCAAACCATTCTATGATTCTATGTGAAGCCCCTGGGATTCTGGGCTGGCCTGAGCTACCTGCCTGCATGTGCTTAGGGCACCGATGCCATAGCTAGACTCCCAGGATTCTTCTGCAGTTCCTGTATGCTGCATCTGGACACAGTATTGTGACTTTGGACATCCTTTGGCATCCAGTACTGAAAACCACTACTACTTTATTTCTGTAATTTTTTAGGGGGGAAAGCATACAAACATCTCTACTGCAAGCAAGGTGATTTTCTCACCATATTAGTAGCTCCCATCAGGCATTGAGAACATGGTGAGACATACTAGCCAAGATATGTAAATGTCTTAATGAAAATGGACTAGACATTTAATGAATTAACAGATCACAATATCTTTGTCACTTCTGCCAGTATACGCTTTTCCTTTTTTGCTTTATTTAATAGTACACAGAATCCTTCAAAGGTAGTTACTATTCAGGGACATCTTACCTTAACTGACCAAAAGTCAAAGGATAGAAGGAGGAGAATAGTGACAAAACAGGCAATGAAGCTGTTGCTGAACCAGTCACACAACAAGTAGGTGACAATGGCACTCACTCGGAAAAACAGGTGGAAAAAGGAAGCCAGTGGGTGTCTAGAAAAAAAAACGAAACACAGAGCACTTAGGAAGTTAAGGAACAAGAAGGAATGTTACAGTATTTGCTAACAATGTAGTATAACACAACAATTTCTAGTTGTGGTTCTTTTTCTGTAGTAGTATTTTGGTGCATAGTTGGTATTATTTCATATGTTAATATCTATCTTCATTATCAAAGCAATAGTATTTCCAATAGGCAGCCTTCAATCTAAAGCTAGAAGACGGAATGTGTTGTTCAAGTCAAAACTTTCTCAAAGACAGAGCAAAATAGTCTTTCACCAGTTTCTTTAGTAATGCATGAAGGAATTTAGTGATTATGTTCAACATTGTACCCTAAAATCCTCATTGCTTCATTAAATAAATCAGAATTGCAAACCACAGAAGAATTAAAATGTATCTTATGCCTTTCAGAACTGTTTTGAGAACAAGAACAGGAATTCTGAAAAAAAAAAAAAAGCTGCTGGTTATAAGGCAAAATTAATCATATGTAATGTCTGAAACCAAACACTTCCTTATACAGCGGGAGTACAAGCTGGGAACCTAACAGTTCCTATTAATGAATGTTCATTAATTTCACTAGATATCTGTGCTTTGCTCATGAAACAAAATTTCATCTGTAACAAAATAAAGGGGAATTTAAGTGGAAGCAGCAGATCTATAGCATGGAATATTGGCCTGTACAATGAGACAGGGGGGTTGCAGAATGCTGTAATGAGCACAGAACAATTTTCAGGGTAATATGCCAAGTGCAAAAATTTATCCTGTACAGTTGAGTTTGTGTTAGTTTGAAGTGACAATTAGCTAGAGGCTGTTGCATTTAAGTAACTTCTTCCCTCGAAACTGCGTGACTAAAACTTGTTTTCTGAATAGGATTTATTTTTAAAGTCAGTGATTCTCTCATCTAGCTCCTCTACCTCTATAAACAATGACAGTAGTATGGCCTATTCAACTATTAAATTTGTTCTTCTATTATTGTGTATAATAAAATGATACATATATACGTAATTATAATTACTTATTACAATAGATAAGAATGAGAAATAAGTTATAATAGTTATATATTTATATCTAGATTGTAATATTATTATTCTATAGCTGTTTAACTGTCCTAGTAATCATCTTTTCTTTCACGGCAATACTGTGCTTGTAGTACTGCACACACATCACTAGAGAAGCAAACATGAGGCCCAGCTGTAGTTTATATTTACTCTTGATCACGTCGATGCTAACCTCTAACTTGCCAAAAACTTTTTCTGACTTAAAGCTGCTTGGAGACCTCATAGCAGCCTTCCAGTATCTGAAGAGGGCCTATAGGGATGCTGGGGAGGGACTCTTCATTAGGGACTGTAGTGATAGGACAAGGGGTAACAGGTTAAAACTTAAACAGGGGAAGTTTAGATTGGATATAAGGAGGAAATTCTTTCCTGTTAGGGTGGTGAGGTACTGGAATAGGTTGCCCAGGGAAGTCGTGAATGCTCCATCCCTGGCAGTGTTCAAGACCAGGCTGGATGGGGCCTTGGGTGATATTGTTTAGTGTGAGGTGTCCCTGCCCATGGCAGGGGGGTTGGAACTAGATGATCTTAAGGTCCTTTTCAACCCTAACTATTCTATGACTATGATTCTATGTGGAATTTTAAATAAAAGGAGCTTTTTCTGCCATAAGCGGGTAGGCGGGTGAGTGGAGCAGAAGGAATATTTTAACTGTCAAAACCAGACTGTCTTGCTACTTCAGGTCTTGATCTCAATCAAGAAGATATGAGAGTTCACTGAGTCAGTGGTATCGTGTGTCAATACAAGCTATTCAGAGATCACAGCTCTAAAGCTTATCAGGGTGGACTGAGCTTTTATAACTATATCAGTGCTTCAGATGTGAAAGTAACTTTAGAGTAGTGCTTCATTTTGAAAGTCAGATGATGAATGACTGATTGGATGCTAAATCAATACCAATCCAATATCAGACTTAGAAGGGTGTTTACTAAAAATAAGCAATACATGAGCAAAAGGCTCACATTTCTTACAGCACTAAACTTTATTGAGACTACAGAGTATCAGTCCTCTTGCAAGTATATGGCTAGCCAAGCCACAGACAGACTTGCAGGTTCTTGTCCTAGGGAAATAATATGGAGATACATTAAAACTTGCATCTCATTCTTTGGACAACTCCCTTGATCTCAGAAAATGTCCATCTATTTACACTTAAAAAAAAAAAAAAATCCTGCAACTAACAGAATTCAGTAAATAAACTGTTCACTTCCTCAGTTAACAGAACAAATGTTTTCCTAATTCACAGCCATCAGATGAAACTTATAGCTCCTATCATACATGAACAGAATTTTTGATAAGGAGATAATCCCAGATAGATAAAATTGCCTTTAAAACCTGAAGCTAAACCATCTGCATCCTTTTTGAAAGAATAAGTTTTATAGCTTTTCTTATGCATTTATATATAATTTAATTGTACTTTATAAATTTTTTTAAAAGCCAATTTCCAGAAGTATGATGAATTAAGAAATCATTGTATAAACTAAAGTGATTTCTTGTACTATGGAAGTCAGTATAGGCTTTAAAACATGGTAACTTTGGTTTTTTGCCTTCAAATCCAGTAATGAATAAAGGTAGCTAAAATTCTGCACTGGCTCTGTTTGACATATTCACTCCTGGAAGCACAGAAACCCACTTACTTGGACTTCTAGTAATCCTGCTGCATTTAAATCCATGTAGTGTAGACCTGGAGTCCTGAGGCTAAACGATTACCATTTATCTTGTTACAGTAAACTCCAATCAGTTGGCAAGCATGATGCCTATCAGGATAGGAATGAGCTGTTATGAATTTAGTTGCATCCTATATTAAGGAATCAAATTTGATTAACCCTAATGTATACCCCTGAACCACAGGAGAATCATTCCCAGTACCTGCTCAGAAGTGCACAGGCAGCACTATATGCTTTTCATACCTCTGTCTGGTACTTGAGATATATCTAGGCAAATTTTGAACAAATAGGTTCTCTTGCTTGATCATGTTGTGTTACCTGAGTGATCTGAAAAAGAAGCGATCATATGCTCGTAACTGTTCCAGATCAAATGTTGTGGTACTGAAATGAACTGCAAAGATGGTGTAAGTTAGGTTTTTCCTAATCTTCTTATGAAAGTAGCCACTAACTAAATCACTAACCACACATCTTTTGCTTTTACTGAACACTTGCATATACCTTGGAGAATCACAAAAGCACAACTTGTCATGCAAATTCTAACAGAGTTCAAGATGGATGAAATTGGGATAAAGTTAAAGACAAATGATTGTAACATGTTGTTATGCCCTCTAATAGGACAATGAAATTCAACAGCACATTGGGTGTGTTCCAGACTTGTTAGCACAAGATTCTTCAGAAACATAAAAACAAACTTCTGTGTGAACAATGTAAGGAGTTTCATTTCTGTATTTTATAGCAGAAGCTTTTTCAGTATGAGAGCATCTTTTAGTACTGTCACAATGAGGGTAAGAAAGAAGAGCAGTCTCTAATGAAATAAGTACCTACACAAAGCGGATCAATGAATACTGTGGTTTACTGATACTTTGCCTGTATACATTATTGGGTAGAGTGAACCAGTAGGAATGGATCTCCAGAGTAAAGTAACTCATGCTGTAGAGCTCCTACAAACATTTTGAGGTGGTTTCACTTCATGCTAACTCCTGTCTGGTCGCACAGACTGTATCTGTGGCTTGCACACTCAAGATACTCCTAAACTGTATTTCCCAGTTTAGTCCAGTCCTTTTGGCTGTCTTCTCCAAAGCTGCACCAAAATATAATCCTTTGTTTAAAAACTGCTGCTGCTAAAGCACAGAAACAAAGCAATTCCAGGAATGATAATCTTCTGTCGTGGCTGACTCCTCATGTAGTTTCAAAGTCCAATGCACTGGAAGGGCAGAAATGCCTCACCAGGCTCTAGTAAAACAGAGCAACTGTGTTGTAAAGCTACATGATTGCTTATTTGTGCATGTCAGATAACATTTATGTTAGGCTTAACATCTCTTATTTTTCCTTGTTTACACTGACAAGAAATATTAACATTGTCATGGTCCAGAGTAAACTGGGGATGGTGGAAGGGCAGAAAGCAATATAAGTCAAAGCTGATTATATACATTGACTAGTGCATGCATATGTATAATTTCTTTTAACATAAAACTTTCCCCTTTACAGTCTTTGACTGGAGACTCTTCAAAAGCCAGTGATGGAACAGCAGCTCTGTGGGACCTTGGTGTGGACAGAGCTGCAGAGGGACACCTCTGGTAACCTAAGGGAAGACTGCTTTACCCTGACGGATCAAGGGGTTGGGTTTTCTCAGGTAACAGCTGCAAGGGTAAATTACATTATAACCCACATAATATCACATCTCATGATAGGAGAACATGACAGTTTTATTTTGAATAACTTGATGTTTCCCTTCAGCTGGGTATGCAATACAATGCCAGAGCACTCTGCTGCACAAATTGTTTTGCTGGAGATGAATTCTCTTGAATTCTCTAGCTCTAACAAAAACACTGCTTGGTTGCTCGGGCTTTTTCCGTGATATGTCGGCCATGGGTGTGTGAAATCTCCATTTCCAGTGGCAGGACGATGCCTGGCGTGCAGAGCAACTGGACTCACTGCAGCAGCCTAGCACTGACCAGCCTCCCGGGCACACTTCTCAGCCTCCCCGGCCAGCCTGTTCCAGCGCTTGACCACCCTCTCTGTGAGAAATCGGAATTCAATGTTTAAAGGACGTTTCTGTGTTTCCATGCGCCAGTCCAGCCGCAGCAGCAGGGGATGCCCAGGCCCAGTCACCTCAGGCGGGCGCCGCGACGCTGAAGCCTCCGCGCCCGCTCCCCGCGCCGTTACCTGATCTTGGCTTTGCGCAGCGCCAGCTCCTCCTCGCTCCCGAAGTCGAGGGACACATCTTCGGTGTCGTCCACCAGCGCCTGCGGCGGGGAGCCCGTCAGCAGGGAGGGACCGGGGGAGCCGCGCCGCCGCCCCCCCGCCCCGCACCGCCTGCCGGCGCCTCTACCTGCTTCATCTTTCGCCTCAGCCGCACCGGCCCCGCAGCGCCGTTGCCGGGCGCGGCGGTTGCCAGGGTCCGGGAGGTGTTTCAGGGAAAAGGGTCCGGGCTGCCGCCTGCCCGGGGAGACCTGCGGAGGGGCCGGAGCTCCTCACTAGGGCCGCGCTCAGGGCTTGACTGCGCCTCGGAGCTCGGCTACCACAGTGGAAGTGGTGCCCGGCAGGCAGACCTGCCTCCTCCTCCTTTGTGTCCTTGCTGCTGAGGTGGCTCAAGCTGCCATCCTGCTCCCCATCGTGGTTAGGCTCTCGGCGGTTGCCTTGACCGAGGCCAAGTGAGCTGTGTGGGCCCTGATGCGAGCCTGAGGAGCCAGTGCCCGAGAGGTAGCCAAAGGCTTTGGTTCAGCGCGCTAAGATGTCTGCCCGCTGATGAGGGCTTTGGGCTCCCCAGGAGCACCAACCTGGATAGGGCTTGTGCTGAAGGTACTCCCCAAAAGGACAAAGCAGAGAGAAAGGTGAATGCACATATACACATATGATGTTATAAATGTGGCTGAAACAAATTGACGAGAGCCAGACCAATGAATCAAATCGGTTTATTGAGCAAGCGACAAGCAAAACCGCGCTGGGTGTCCGGGGAGTCTCCACTCCACCAACGCCACGCGCCCCACTTCCCCAAAGTCACTGGTTTTATACTCTTCTTCATCCGATATACGTGTCACCTCCTGGCGTCCTCTGCGTCTCTGTGACCTGTAGATAAGGGGTCTCATTCTGTCTCCTGGTGGGTGTGGGGAGGAAGGCTCCTTATCGCCTTCCCTATACATCGTTTACTTTAACAGATGCCCGCGGTCTATAAGCAACATGTCAAAGCACCTTAATTTTCCAGTAACTATTAAGCAAGCAAGTAACTCTAAGCAAGTAAATCCTAAGCAAGCAAGATTTGATTAACAAACAGGAATTTACTCATTACATATGATACATGCCTTGTTTGAGGACTTCCATCTGCTGTCCTGTCAGTGATGGGCCAGACTGTATGTGCTGTCCCTTGCCTCACAGTGGGCCCTGTGCCCCTTTTGGGCTTTTGAGGGGTAGTCCAGTATGGGCATAATACGGGGGATGTACTACTAGTGTAACTTAGGTAACTGGGCTGTTTAGTTAAAGGTTTCTCCTGCGTTTATTTAAATAGCAGATGGGTTATGCAACAGAGTTAAGGAAGTAGGAATGTGAAATGAGACAACTGCACTAGACGACTAGATCAGGTTGCCCAGAACCACATCCAGCCTTAACTTGAATGTCTCCAGGGATGGTGCATCCACCATCTCTCTGGCCAACCTGTGCCAGTGTTTTACCACTCTCATTGTAAAGAATTTTTTCCTCATGTTCAGCTTGTATCCCCCCTCTTAGTTTAAAACCATCATCCCTTATCCTATTGCCCTGCTGAAATGTATCTCCCCATCTTTCTTATAGGCCCCTTTTAAGAACTGAAAGGCTGCAAAAAGATCTCCCTGGAGTCTTCTCCAGGCTGAACAACCCCAACTCTCCCAGCTGTTCCTCACAGCAGAGGTGCTTCATCCCTCTGATCATTTGTGTGGCCTCCTCTGGACCCTCTCCAACAGCTCCGTGCCTTTCCTGCACTGAGGACTCCAGAGCTGAACACAGTGCTCCAGGTTGGGTCTCACCAGAGCAGAGGGGCAGAATTACATCCCTTGACCTTCTGGCCATGCTCCTTTGGATGCAGCTGAAGATACAGTTGGCCTTTTGGGTCTGCAAGCACAGACTAGTGGGTCATCTCCAATCTTTCATCCACTAGTACCCCAAGTCCTTCTCTTGGGTGCTCTCAATCCCTTCATCCCCTAACCTGTAATAACTTCCTTGTCTTTTCTAAAACCTCTAACTAATCCAGAATGTATCTGTTGAGTAAGTACAGAAGTTACTAAGGTAAAATTGGAAAGCAGCTTTGTGCAAGACTTGTTACTAGAGCAAGACAATACCTAATGCATCAGAAAAAACTGGTAGAGCTGTTCTTAGTAGGATCTGTAACTGTAGAGGAGGAAAGGTGCGTTTTATGACTAATAATGTTAATATTGTGCTAGTCATATTTTGGCCTTGGTAGTGTTAAAACAGTACCTCACAGTGTATCAGTAGGTGCAGCAGACTTGCACTACAAAACTGAATAGGCAACTCAGTGGAATGGCCCACAGTAGCCTAGAACAGCCTAGAAGAGGAGGCTTTCACTCACAAAAAGGACATAACCTCTATGAGTTATCATGAGATACAATTAGTAAATAATTATGTGCATACCTGAAGCTGACCTCTACTCCATTTACTGTATCAACATGCAGTTCTGCTTATGAGCAGCATCTTTACAGTAACTCAAATAGAACTGGCTTTCTGACTCAGAAGCAGTTCCTGGAACTGCACTGACACAAGCATTAAGCTGTGGAGGGAGGTCTTGCATTTTCTTCACTGACAGATTATCATCTCAGCTGTTGCATCAGCTCTCCTTTCACCTCTCAGCACAGTTCTGCCAGCAAGTCTGATGGTTCGAATTTAGTAATGTTGCTGTATTGTCTGAACTGTTGCATTTTTATTCTAAGGCACCAGAAAATAACTGTGTGCTATGTTCCTTTTCAGATAAAACAGTACTTGCTTCTGGAGGAGAGGTGACAATTAGCCTGCTACAGAATTACATATCTGAGTGCTTACTCTGGTGCTGCTACCTGATTTCATTAGAGGTAGAATGATATAACTAAAAAGAGAAGCAGAACCTGTGTTTTGTTTTTAAAATTTAAAACAGATAAATGTTTCTTTAATTTTCCCTCCTTCCAGTGTTTGTCTCCACTGTTTTGCTATAGGGATTATCTGTTTTCCTAAGAAACTCTTTTGGATAATCCCACAGAAGACTATCACTATACCATGCAGATGGTTTTAGTAACATTCTCTAAAAAGCAATGTGAAACTCTTGTGTGATTATTCAAGATATTGTATGGGTTATCATTTTCTTTGAGCAAATTAGGAGCGAGAAAGAATGCTTGTTTGCTAGAGGAATTGTTGGCCAAACCAAGAATTTCTTCATTTTGGGATTATTGGAAAAGCATTTTTCCTTGTTCTAAAATAAATACATCCAGGTATAACCTCATTAGAAGTTCCCAGTGTTTTCTAGGATTTTGCAGAACAAATTGTCCTATTTTCAACAGTTTTTCAGTATTTTGATTTGACTACAAATTATTTGAAGACTGGAAAGATTAGGAACATCCTAAAGGTGATGCAAGCCCTCAGTACCACTTCAACACATAAAATGTAAAGATAGTTACACTGAATTTGTGAATTGTGGTTTGGTTTTCAGGTTTGTACACAGGAAAACCTTGACCTTTAGGAAATACATTAAGATTTTATGTAATTGCTGACTGAAACACAGAGCATAAAATAGTTCAAAACTGATTCACTTGCTGCAGTGTGCTTATTACTTTACAGGCAGTTCTCTGCCCTGAATAGATAATGGCCTTTTTATCAAGGAGTACTATCAACGCCAAAGGCTTGATATGAATAATGAGCAATGTCTCACACTCGGTTTCAACAATAAGTAGAACCTCCTCCAAGTCGAATATGGTGTTTCATCCATGTGGTTAACATGAAGTCAGCTGATTTCCCTTTTTCTTTGGAGCATTGCCCAGAGTTGCACCATCTATCAGTATCAAGCTCTGTAAGCTGCACAAGGACATTCTGAGTAGCTTGACAGTTCTTCCTCTGGGAAAGCAACTCAGTGTTTACAGTTTTCTGTTTTTCTGAATACTGGAAAAATACTGTTAATCCAAGAATAACTGTTAGTGTGCATTAGATACATTTACATGTTTTGTTGGAGGTTCAGTAAAAACATTTACGTTTTGAGGAGATAGGCCAAATTAGAGAAGGTATTAAACAGATAACTTTCTTATAGTGTTGCCCTCTAATTAACTTGTAAAAGATTATTTTTTGCTTTGGCCCAGAGCTAATTTCTGTGGATTTTTTTGTCAGTACATACCTTAGTCGTAATTGTCAGCTCTGTATTATCAGGAGAGAAGCTGTAGCATTTACTTGACAGATCAGGATAACGTCTTTCAGTTGGATGTTATGTAGCAATACACTCTCAGTAGAGATCTAGTTCAAGAGGTTTGGGCTGTAAATATGAATGGAGATCTTTTATTAAAAAAAAAAAGAAAAAAAAAGAAAAGCTGTATTGGGCCTCCGTTCAATTATGTTTAAAGAGATTAAAAATATTTTTTTAGTATCTTGAGAGGGGTATAAATACCCATTATTGCACAGTAACTGATTTTGCTTCTAAAAAGTACAGTAGTACCTGTATTCCTTTCAGGTAGGAAAAAAAGAAAACAAGAAAAGATTACATGTTTTTATTAAATGGAATCCTCTGTATTCACTGTTTGTGTTTAGGCCTCATTTAACTGGTGCTGTAGAATTTCTAGTGTGGTTACCTGGGAGACAAAATGCTTTGTAATTATTACTGAGTTTACTTCAGTATCTTTTTCTGTTGAGGCTGTACAGTGGTCATCTAGAAACAGCCAAAACAAAGGCAGACCAAAGCAAAGTTATCAGCTCTCTTCCAATTTTGGGTACATTGCTTCCCAACCTTTGGATGTGAACTTCTTGATGTGTTTAGCTCTCTGTGTATATCTTCATATGTTCAAAGCTTCAGCCCTTCTCAACTGCAGTTCTTGTTACTAGTCAGCTCTGCAGATCATCTCTTATTTCTCATTTGGGGAACTCCAGAAATAAGGATTTTGGATGCTGTTTGGACAGCTGTCAAAAGTTTGGTTTAAGTGGCTCTGTAGATCCACTGAATAAGGGATCTAAGTAAGGAGAGGACCCCTTTCCTAGAGTGGCACCAGAGTCCACTCTAGAGTCCTAGAGTCTTCACCAGAAGAGGTGCTTGGGGTTCCTTCCTTCCTTTGCTGGATGAATTTAAAGGCCTGTACATCCTCACACAAGTATCCAGTGCCTTTCCTGACTTAACCTGGTCTTCTATAGGCTTGATGAGGGGAAGAAAAACAGAAGTAGTGTAAACTTATTAAATAGAAGACCCTAAGGATTATCAAGCAGTTGAGAGCCTAGTACAACAGGCGGTTAATATGAAAAATTGAGTGCTGTTGCTTCTACTGTTTTCTCTGCAAAAAACAAAAGTTGAGGTGACTTCTAAAAGCTGTAAGCTGCTTACTTACTAGCCCCCACCCCCTTGCTACTAGTAATATTATCATAGTTGTGTTCAGATCCCTGAGGTGCTTGCTGGGAGGTTCATCAACTGTTGCTTTCATTGGCAATGTCTACTTCATCTTTTGTTGTGGAGGATGTGGAGGTTAAGCATCTTTTGCTATAGCTGCTTGCATGTGGTGTTCTTACGTATTCTAAAGTGATGTCAGGCGGGTGGTAAAGGCAATAACCTGTACC